AAGATGCGGTCCAGGCTCTGCCGGCTCTCCTTGGCGATGCGCAGCATGTCCAGCACGGCCAGGCACAGGCAGGCCTCCAGCGTGTGCCAGCTCAGCGCCCCTGCCATGAGCCCCTGCAGGAAGTCGCTGCGGGACTAGGTGCCCCACAGGGTCAGCATGGGGGGGGCAGGGGCATCTGCTCCCCACCCATCCACCCCATGGGCACAAAGCGGGGAGCCTGTGGTGCTGCCTGCCCCTCCAGGATGGGGCCACCACCACCGCCTCCCGGTGCAGCCTTGGGTGAGTCTCTGCAGCAGGCCCAGCTGTGCAGTGGTGGAGGGGGTCAAGGTCACGGGACGGGGGGGGATTTGCTGGTGGGGGGCTATCTTGCAGCAGTCGGGCTGGCGCTGCTCACCTGAGCAAAGAGGTAGTCGATGACGGGCTGGTCCAGGACAGCGCTGGCCCGGTCCTGCAGCAGCTGGAACCGCTGCGATTTCCCCGGCCCGCACCAGTTGGGGAAGAGGAACCTGGCCCGAGGGCGGGGAGAGGACAGCTGGCACCAGGGTCCCTCAATCGCCGCCTGCACGTGCACCCCAGGGCAGGGGCTGGGGTGGGCAGCGGGGAGAGCCGCTGTGTGCTCAGGCCAGGGACCCGTGGCGTGGTCCGAGCACCCCTGGACCCATGTGCACTGGGGCTTGTGGGGGGTGGGTACCTGATCCTGTAGACGACAACCAGGGTGGTGGCATCGCTGACGGTGAAGACGTGGTTGGGGGGGAACCAGCTGCTCAGGTCCTCGGTGGCCAGGGCAAAGAGGCAGTGGCAGACAGGCAGGATGCCTGGAGGGGCGCAGGCGGGCATTGCGCCATCAGGGCATTGAGTGAGTCACTCAGGGGCACTGGGGGGGGGGCAGTGGCAGAGGCAGGGGAGAAACCGGCCCCTCCTCATGCCATGCTGGAGGCACTGCAGACCCCAGCCTCTGCCCTTGACCCCCTAACCCAGGGACCGGAGCGTGGCCTCACCGCAGGCCTTGGCGGCCGCCACACACAGCTCCTCTGCCAGGTACTCGCCGAAGGAGAAGGTGAGGGTGCCGGTGGAGCTGGGGGTGCCGGGCTGGTGGTACAGGTGCACCTGCAGCGTGCCCGCCTCGGTGGAGGACAGGCTGCTGGAGCACTGCCCCATCAGGGGGGTGTCGTCACCCAGCGGGGCCATGGCGGGGCGGGCACTGAAAGGACGGGGGGTTAGCCCGGCGGGACCCCCACCCCTCTGCTCAGGGGAGCAACCCGGGGGCACTGCAGAGCCTCTCCCTGCCCTGGCCCCCGGCCTCAGGAAGGCACCTCCCGCATCAGCGCCGGCCTGCGGTTAGCATTGGGGCTGTAGCTCGCGGCCTGTGGGGGGTGCAGCTCCTGCGCCGCCTTCCCCGGGGCGGGGGGCCCTGCCAGCGCGGCACGGCGCTGAGCTTTGGGGGGCTTCCTGAGCCGAGACCGGCGTGCCCTGCCAACCCCTGAAGCCTCCTGGGAGCTGGGGCTGGATGCCCTGGGGGGAAACTGAGGCACTGCCTACCGGGGGGGGTCTCCACGCTGCTCGGGGGCACTCGTGCTATCGGTTTGCGCCCAGTCCGGAGCGCATCTCAGGGCGCTGCCGAGGCAAGCCCCAGGTTAGCCATCGGGCTGCAGCACTACAGTTCTGGGGGGAGAAGTGGGGTTAGTGGGAGCACAGGGACTGAGCCCCAGCCCCCCACCACCCCTGCCTTTTGCTTGCACACCCGTCTGCCCCCATCCTCCCCTATGGGTGCCCAAGTCCCTTGGGCCAGGCCGTGGCAGGGCCCATGTAGCCGCGTGCTAAGCCTTGGAGACCCCTTGCCCGCGCCTTCTTGGGGCACGAGGCTGGGGGGTTACCTGGGAAGGGCTGGGGGGTCCTCGATCCGGCCCAGCCCGGGGGCAGGTGAGGCGACGCCCCGGCGATGGGGCAGGACCAGGCCACCGGGCGCTCGCTACTTGTATTTCCGGCCTTGCGTGGGCGTCGGGTAGAAGATGGAGATTAAAAAGGGGAGAGAGAAAAGTCCCCCTCCCGGCTTCCTTCCTGCCCCGGCGCTGCGCAGACTTCCTGCCACGCAGGCCTGGGAGCGTGGTGCGCGGGGGCTGCCGGGCGCAGGAGGGTCCCGGCACCCAGCCAGGCTCCCGCGGGTGACGAGGCTGGCTCTGGTCCCAGCCGTGCCGTGGGGGGTGGGGGTGGGCAAGAGAAGCGAGATGTGGTGCATGTGGGCTGTCACGTAGCCGTGGGGCCTTTCCGAGAGCAAGCCGCCAGCGCGTCCCCTGGAAACTCAGCCCTGGTGTCTTACTGCAGTGAAACCCGTCCACTTCCCCCAAAAACCCTTTGAACTGGCCCCCAGCAAGGGGGCCCAGCTCAGCAGAGGCTTTGCCACCGGGTTGCCCCGCTCCTGCTCCGCTGGAGCTGCCCGGGTACCACAGCCACGCGCCCCGGGGCTGGGGTTGCCCTGGGCACGCTGCATCCCCTCGCTGCCTCCTCTGGGTCCCTCCCTGCAAAGAGCAGCTGCGGCCGCCACTTTTGCCCCTTGGGGGTGGCTTGGAGCTGCAGGCGGCGGGGGCTCTTCTCCCTGGCGGGGGGAGGCGAGTGCAGGTCTGTGGCCTGGGGAGCTAGCAGGGTCCGGTGCACCCCCAGCTCTCCGGGAGCTCCTTCCTCCCACCTGGCCACCAGGTCCCGTGGGTGCCTAGCCCAAGACCCGGACCCAGCCTGGTCTGGGAGCCCCAGACCGGTGCCGTTCACAAGAGGGGAGGTGACGCCTGGGATGGCCAGTCCCGCCAGCCTGCCCGTGCCCGTGCCCGTGCCCGTGCCTGTGCCCGTGCTGGCGCCAGGCTAGCAGCAGCATGTGCATGCTCTGGCAGGCGCTGCAGCGAGGAGAGGCGAGTGCAGCACTTCGTCCTCGTGCTTAGGTCAGCCCCCGGCTATTCCCACTTCCAAGGCGGTTGAGGGGGAGGCAGCCCCGTGGGCCGTGCAGAGCTGGGGGCGGCTGCCGGGCAGGGGGGCGGTAAGCTGCTGCCCTGTGCTGGGCTGGATCCTGGATGCACTCCAGGTTGCTGCTTCGGGCCCAGCTGAGGATTGGGCCCAGTGCAATGGAGGGAACAGGAAGAGGCCAAATCCTGCGTTTCTGGGGCTCGCCCGTGATCCTGGAGCAGATCCGTCTGGGCGCTCTTCCAAGAGGAATCTTCCCCTGTTTGGATAAAGGGTTTCCCTGGGCAGGGACGCTGTTTGTATTGGCAGCTGCCCCACGCCACGCACCTCACCAGGCACCGGGTAGGGTGGGTGCCGCATGGCGTTGCTGGCTACGGGGGCTCCCCAAGCCCAGGGAGCGTGCTGGTTCCTCGTGCATGGGGGCAGCCTGCGGGTCCATGCACAGCTTGCTCAGCCTCCAGCGCCCCGGGCCCGAGCACAGCAGGCCGGCGGCTGCAGGGCTCTGGGTTTCAGGAAGCGGGTGGACACGGAGCTCCCCATTGCAGGAACATTTCCTTGTCCCAGGGCTGGAGGCACCTGTGGTTGTGCAAAGCACTTCGGCTGAAGCAGAGGATGTTGACTGAGCAGGAGCTACGCCCTGGCCAAGATGGCGCACCGGCAGATTTATTACCCTGGCCGCTTCCCACTGTTCACAAACCAGCCCAGCCTTTAAAACACCTGGAGGCGATTGCATGCAGACTGTCCCGCTGCCTGCAGGCACGGGAGCTCCCCCAGGACAGGAGGCCGTCAGTGCTGGGGCCTCCACGCTGCTTGCGTTCCCGCCTCGTCTCTCCTGTTTACCAGGGAGGGCACTGGTGGCTGCAGGGGTTTTACTGGGGGGTTTATTTGCCGTGCTGCTCCATGTGCTGTGCTCTGCCAGGCATGTGCTGGCCCACGGCCTGTCCCAGCCTGGCCCTGCGTCCCAGGGAGCTTGGGCCTGAAACGCCAGTACCTGATACAGGGGTTGGGATTGCGGGGTGTTGGTGTGTGCAAGCACGTGTCTCTCCTTGCGGTGCTCGGAGGCTCTGTGTTTGCCAGGATGGGGGTAGGGGTAGCGGTATGGCCCTGCTGGGGGGTTGTCCCAGCTGGCTTGCAGAGCCCGTGCTCCGGGCTGCAGCGAGAGGTGCTGACAAGGGCAGGGCGCCGTGGCATGTTGCCCAGAAGCATCTTTCACTAGCTCTTTATATCCGCGCCCTCCTGTCATCTCAGGACTGAACTGCACCCGGAAAGCGGTGGGTCCAGGAGCGTGGGTGGATCCAGCACCTGCTTTGTGCTCAGAAATCAGGTGCTGGGATGGAGCAGGGAGGATCCAGAGGCACTGGGAGGGGGCTGAGATGAGCAATGCCGAGGGGTTGGGGCAGTCCTGGGGCTGCTGGAAGTTACGTGGGGGCTGGGGTGGCACGACAGGAAGGGTCCCAAACCCGCTGGAAGCCACCGACCCTACCCTGGGGGTACCGGAGCCCAGCCTGCTGCCCCTTATCACCCCAGCCCCTGTTTTTCTCCAGGGTCGATAAGAAGCTCAGGGCTGGCGTCTGCGGAGGAGGCCTTCAGGCAGCCCCGTTTCAAGGCTGACCCATCCTCCCGTGGCCCAAACACAGATAACGGCCGCCGCGGCTGGTTTGTTTTAACCCAGGTCTTCTCTGGCTGCAGGGAGAGTTGACCCTTGGTCTCCTCAGGGAGCCCCCGGCTCCATAGCCTTGGACGTGGGGCTGGCGGCAGAGGGAGGGGAGAGCCCGGCAGCCCCCCAAGAGCATCCTGTGCACCTCCGCCAGCCCCTGCACGTGCGTGTGTCTGGGAGCAAACACGTGTGTGCCCTTGGTGCCCCCCATTCTGCGTCCCACCCTCTCCAGGGCCCGGGTCGTCCGTGCCCCCTGCACCGCTCCCTGCCCTCAGGGGTGCAGCATGCCTTCAGGGCCTCGCTTGGGCCCCTGGGCCAGGCACTGCCTGGCACTGCACTGCCTGGTGCCCTGCACCCACCTCTGCATGGGCGGCCCTGGTCTCCCTGGGTCTGGGAGAGCCAGGAGCAGCTCCTCCCTTATGACCGGCTGCCTCCTTATAAGCCTCCTCAACCAAAGCTGCCCAGGTCAGTCCCGGAGCTGCCTCACCTGGGTTCCTGCCCTTTCCCGGGGCCGTGGTGGCTGGGGGGAGCCCCTTGCCCCTGCGCTGCTTTGCTGCTTCCAGCCCGTCAGCGGGGCTCGGGCATTTACTGCAGGAAAAGCTTGTCTCCTAGCAAGAATAATCGCCTGCTTTTTTCTCCCCCCAGAACGAAGGGCAACCTTCTGCTTGGCACAAAGCAGCCTCCTCGCCCCATCCTCCCCGCTGCATTGGCCTCCAGGGTCTCTTGTACCGTGACTTCGTGCTGGGCCGATGCAATCAGGGTCCCGAAGTGGCTGGGTCCGTGGCTGAGGGTCTCTCTGCGGCACCGACCGACGAGGGTGAGCCCGGCTGGGCTGTGATTCCAGCCTCCGCATCCTCCATCGTCCTGTCCGGGCGGCTCTGCTCCGGGGTTTATTGGTCTGGGTTCGGGGATGGGGATGGGACTTTTCCCCTTTTTCTCTGCATCCCCCAGCTGAAACCAGCCCTTCGGGGCCCTCTGGCCCAGTCTCGCAGACTTGGCCCTTCTGTCTCTGTGCACCACGATTCTCGTCCCCTTTGCTTGTGGCTTGGAAATATTAACATTTCCACCCCCCCTCCCACCTTTCCACAGGGAAGCTCAGGTTGCTCATTCAGGTGCTGCATCGCTCCCGCCCGGAGCCTGGCTCGGGTCCTACGTCTGACTGCTCGGCTCTGCCTCTGAGGTCTGGCCGCTCCGGAGTCGCTCGGGGGGACGGCGAGGTCTTATTGCACCCTGTCCCTTGGCCGGCCGGGCTGTGGGTCGGTCTGCCCGCAGCGCAGGGAGCTGCACGTGTCCAGGTGGGGCCACGACTCGCGCGGCGCCGTGGCCATGTCGCGGGTGGGCGACATGCAGGTGTTCAGGCCGGAGATGCTGGCGTTCAGCCTCTGGGACTACGGGGTCTTCGGGCTCATGCTGCTGGTATCCACGGGCATCGGGCTCTTCTACGCCCTCGCCAAAGGCGAGCAGAAGACCTCGGACGACTTCTTCACGGGGGGCCGGCAGATGCCGGCCGTGCCCGTGGGGCTCTCGCTGTCGGCCAGCTTCATGTCGGCCATCCAGGTGCTGGGCGTGCCGGCCGAAGCCTACCGCTACGGCCTCAAGTTCCTCTGGATGTGCCTGGGGCAGGCGCTCAGCACCCTGCTGACGGCCTTCGTCTTCCTGCCCGTCTTCTACCGCCTGGGGCTGACCAGCACGTACGAGGTGAGGGGGCGCGGGGCGGCCTGAGGGCGGGGGGCAGGTCCCGGGAGGACATACTTGGGTGCGATGGGTGCAGGGGCTCTGCCGCCTCTCTCCTTTCTGCCCCCTCGGCAGTGCAGCCGGCCCCCAACCCCATGTCCCCTCGACCCCATCTCGGCCTCTGCCCTCCCCATCCTGCTCCACCAGCCCCCTCCATCCCAGCTCCTATCTGCTGAGTCCTGCAACCCCCCACCCCCGGCTGACTGATGACCTTTCGCCCCAGTTTGCAACCCCCACCCCGGCATGACCACCTTCCACTGCAAGGAGGGGGAAGGGGTCCAGAGTCCCCAGCTGCGGCCGGTCAGGGGCGGTCCAAACCGTTAGCAAACACCGCCGGCCTGGGGCCCTGGAGCAGCAGCTCTGTCCTGCAGGGGCACGTGTGACCCCTCTGCCCCCCGTGTCCAGGGGTGGGGGGGATTGAGGGGCCGCGCTGCGCCATGCAATGCCGTGCTCATCACACCCTCGTGTCCCCCCCGGCAGTACCTGGAGCTGCGCTTCAGCAAGGAGGCTCGCCTGTGCGGCACCGTCCAGTACATCGTGGCCACGGTGCGCTGCTGGGGGGTCTGCGGGGTTCGGCCAAACCATCTGCATGGGGCTGGGCAGCAGGTGGCGCGGGGCAGGGCAGGGGTCTCCCCGGAGTCACGGTGCCCCCGTGTCCCATTCTGGCTGCAGGTGCTGTACACGGGCGTCGTCATCTACGCCCCGGCCCTGATCCTCAACCAAGGTGCGTTGCAGGCCCCGCGCAGCGCAGAGCAGAGTTGTAGACGATGAGGGTTGGAGGGACCACGTGTCTGGCCTCAGCTACATCCTCCCAGCCAAGGCTTTGTGTAGCCGGGGCTTAAACACCTCCGGGGAAGCGGGGGAGAGGCGACTGGAGGAGCCTGGGGCTGGGGCTGGGCCTGGCATGGGACCCCCCCAGCACCCACCTACCTGCATCCCCCCTGCACCAGCCCATCCACGCCCCTCGGGGCAATGCCCACAGGCTGAGCCTGCGGATCCCCTCCACCCCCAGGCCCACGGCTCGTGCCCCGCGTGCCGCGCCAACCGGCTGTGGCCGGGCAGCAGAGCCCGGGACCCCTGCGGTCCCCCAAGTGGCGGTCTGTTTCTTCCCGGGGGGTGGGGGCACAGGTCTGTAGCACCGCCTGCTTCAGCGGCTTTGTTCCTCCGGCCGCTCAGTGACAGGGCTGGACATCTGGGCATCGCTGCTGTCCACAGGAGCCGTCTGCACCTTCTACACCACCATTGTGAGTGCCGCAGGCGCCCGTGCCCCCCTCCCCTGCCCCCAGGTCACCCTATGCTGGTGCAGCCTGGGCGGTCGCCCCTCCTCGGCGTGGCTGTGCCCCCGCCAGCTGATGTCTTACATGGGTGGACCTCCGTTTGCCAGCCTGGGCGGCCTTTCCCCAGAAGGGAGCTGCTCCCGGAGCTCCACCAGCAGAGCCCGGGGTGCACCCGGGAGAGATCAGAGCCCGGGTGCCCATCTCCGAGCGCAGGTGGGGGGTTTCCCTCCCATGCACTCCTTCTCCAGAGACAGGGATCCACCAAGGGGGTGAGGCAGGCCGTGAACTTGAGCCCGGTCCGCCCGTGGGGTCACGTGCCGGGGGCAGAAGGCTGCGATGCTCCGTTGGCTCCAGGCTGGTTTGCTCCAGCCCTTGTCGTTGGCCCTGGGGAAGCACGGTGCCCGCTGATTCCCTGGGGTCTGCTGCCCGAGGGGCTGAACCCCACTTTGCACCCCTCCCAGGGTGGGATGAAGGCGGTGGTCTGGACGGACGTCTTCCAGGTGTTCGTGATGCTCTCCGGGTTCGTCGCCATCGCCATCCAGGGCACGTTGATGGTGGGAAGCCCCGGAGCGGTCCTGGGTGCCGCGTACAACCACTCCCGAGTGAACTTTGCTGAGTACGTTGGTTTCCCGGCACAATCCTGTCGGTCTGGAAAAACCCCACGGGCGTCCGTGTCCGTGTCCGTGTCCGAGCTGGGTATTCGGACGTGCTCAGGCCTGTAGCTCCAATTCCCGCCCCCCAGGCAGGAGGACCCAGGAGTCCTGACTCGCAGACGGGGAGATGGAGCAGGTGTGCACGCACCAGGCCTTTACTCCGACGTAGCTGGACTCAGCTCCAGGGTGGAGTGGAGCCGCCGCGTGCTGCGGCCTCACCCCAGGCTCAGCACCGTCACCCTTGGAAAGGCAGCGGCTGCGCCCCGCTTCCCCGTGGGGGCTCCGCTCCCCAAGTCGGGTTTATCCCGGGCTAAGCTCTGCGCACACCAGCAGCCAGGTGCTGCTACCATGTGCTGCCGGCCCCGGAGAGCGGGTCCGCGCGCCTGCCGGGGTGAACTCCAGGGCTGCGTACTCATCGTGTCGTGCGCCCCGCAGCTTCGACCCCGACCCCCGGAGCCGCTACACCTTCTGGACTTTCCTCTTCGGGGGCACGCTGGTCTGGCTGTCCATGTACAGTGTGAACCAGGCGCAGGTCCAGCGCTACGTGGCCTGCCAGACGGAGCGCGAAGCCAAGCTGTGAGTCTGCTTCCCGCGCGGAGGAAGGGAAACTGAGGCAGGGGCCAGGAGAAGCAAGCACCCTGTCCGAGCCACCCCACTACAGCCGTGGGCAGTGCAGAAGGGTCCCCTAGCCACCCATGGGCACAAGGACCAGGGGGACCGCATGCACTTGGGCGTAGAGTCAGGGCAGGGATTAGAGCCGTGGTCTGGCCGTGAGTCCTGGGGTGAGAAGGGTCCAGGCCGGGTGCGTGCAGGGAGCTGCTGGCTGCGTGGGGGAGAAGGGGTGGGGAACGGCCCCTGTGCCCCCTCCAAGGTGGGTGGTATGGGGCAGCAGGACAGATGTCAGCAGCTGCCCGAGGGGCCCTGGAGGGCAGGGGGCTGCCAAGCTGGTGGGGGAGCTGGGACCTCACGCCCCGCTGGGGCTCTGATCCGTGCCCGCAGCGCTCTGCTGGTGAATCAAGTGGGCCTCTGCTGCATCGTGTCCAGCGCCGTGACCTGCGGCATTGTGATGTTTGCGCTCTACAAGGACTGCGACCCGCTCCTGGCCGGATACATCTCTGCCCCCGACCAGGTGCCTCCCCCTGCCCTGGCGAGCCCGGGGGGTGCAAGGGGGGAACCGCTGCACTCGAGCGGCGAAAGGCAAGAGGCGAGACCGTGGGAGCGGGACCCGCTGCCTGGCGCGGACCCCGACTGCGTCACCGGCTCTGCGGGGGGCGGCTGGCCCACGTCCCGGGCCCGGGCCCGCGTGGGAGCAGGCCGCCGGGGGGCGGGAGGAGCGGGCCAGCCTGTGTAACGCAGCCGTCTCTTGCAGTACATGCCCTACCTGGTCCTGGACATCTTCGAGCGGTACCCAGGCGTGCCCGGCCTCTTCCTGGCATGTGCGTACAGCGGGACCCTCAGGTAACCCTGGGGTGTAGCCCGGCCCCCCACCCCCAGCCTGCCGTGCCCCCCCGGGGCACGGCTTAGCTCTGCTTCCCTGCAGCACGGCATCCACCAGCATCAACGCCATGGCGGCCGTCACTGTGGAGGACCTCATCAAGCCCCGGGTGCCGGCCCTGTCCCCCCGGACCCTCATCCTCATCTCCAAGGGGCTCTGTGAGTCTGGGGGTGGGGGGCAGCCAGGCTAGGTCCAAGCCGGGGGGTGGGGATGCCGGCAGCCCTGTCTGAAGCCATCCTCCCGTCTCTGTTGCAGCGCTGACCTACGGCATCGCGTGCATCACAGTGGCAGCCCTGTCCTCGTTGCTGGGGGGCGGTGTGCTCCAGGTGCACCCCTCAAACCCGCTGCCCTGCTGTGCCCCCCACCCCGGGCACCCGGGCCCTGCCTGACTGTGCCCCTCTCCACCCTCCAGGCCTCCTTTACCATCATGGGGGTGATCAGCGGCCCCTTGCTGGGCGCCTTCGTGCTGGGGATGTTCATCCCAGCCTGCACCACGGCCGTGAGTCCTGCGCCTGCTTGGAGGGGAGGGGTCACCGCTCAAGTCAGACGGTGACCACCGGGCCAGGAGGAAGGCCCGTGAGCTGGGGTGATGGGGAGGGGGTCTTGCAGGATGGGGAAAAGCATGCCAACCATCCTGCCCCCAGGGAGCGTTCACGGGACTGGGGGCCGGCTTCGTCCTGTCCTTCTGGGTGGCTGTGGGGGGCACCCTGTACCCCCCTGGTGCTGCCACCATGGGGGTGCTGCCCACGTACGGCAGCCTCTGCCCACTCTACAACGCCAGCCACGGCCCCAACGGCACCATTGTCCTGGGGCCGCTGCCCCCCCGCAACGTCTCGGTGCCCACGGACAGGTGAGCGCTGGGGCCGGGGCCGGGGTCCTGGCAGCTGCGGGCCCTGACGCTTCCTTGCATGACCAACATTGCCTCTCCGCCACGCCGCACTTGCTTTGCAGGCCGGTCGCTGGCGACAACTTCTATGCCATGTCCTACCTGTACTACGGCGCCCTGGGCACGCTGTCCACGGTGGTTGTGGGCGTGCTCGCCAGCTACCTGACAGGTGAGGGGAGCCAGGCCGGCCTGGGGGCTGTGCTGGGGGGCTCTCAGCTCGGGTGGGGATCAGCGAGGGGCGTCCACCTGCAGCGTCTCATCGGCCGCACCGCCCGGCAGGTCCTGCGACGCAGCACCGCGTGCGGCCCGGGGTGCTGTGGTGGGACATCGTGAAGCAGACGTCCTTGGCGGCCCCCGCCAGCGGGAAGAGCCCTTTTGGTCACAGCCCAGATAAGGTGACCAGGGACAGCAGACGCCTCTCTCTGGGGGGAGCTGGGGGTCCCCCATTGCTGGCAGGATGCCGCTGGCTGGGGCAGCTCCAGGGCAAAGCTGCTCCTAGGGGGCAGCTCACAGCTGGGGGGGGGGCAGGCTGGCCGGCAGGATGAGGACCGGGCAGCGGAGACCCCGCTGTGCCCCACATGACCGCCCTCCCCTTCCCCAGGTTCCCTCATCCACCTGCCCGATCTTGGTGCCTGGGCACAGCTCGGAGCCCTGCCAGGCACTGCTGTTCAGCCAGGTGGAGGTGGGCACCGGGGAGCCCCTCTGGGCCTGCAGCTCCGTGGACCACCTGCTCAGGGAGACCAACGTGTAGGGCTGGGGCCTCCTGTGGGGCCAGGCTCCGCGACGCAGGTCTGACCAGCCACGACTGCTCCGGGGACAGCGGAAGAGGGACGCAACGCGAGCGTGCATGCACACCTATCCACCCATGCATGCGTTTATGGCGACCTGGATGGGGCTGGCTGCGCCTGTCCCCCGGGGTGCCCCGCACACCCCACGGCAGAGGATCGCAGGCAGGCTGGGGTACAAGCTCCCCCATGACAGCTTTCCCCTCTGGTGCCAGTCCGGAAGAGGCGGGGGCCGGCAGCATCTTCCCTCCCAGGAGCCCAATAAAGAGCTCCCTGCAGTACCTCAAGTGCCGTGTCTGCGTGCAGGGGGCGAGCGCCGGCCCAACGCCCCAGGCTGAGCTCGGGATCCCTGACCTCCCCCTCCCTGACCCCGGCATCGCCATGCTGCTTCTGCTGGGGCTGCATGTCCGGGTGGCTGCACGCACACGATGGAGAGAGAGGAGACAGGAGCAAAGCCCCTGCCAGTGCCTCTTGTCCTCCGCCACTGCCCCATGCAGGGGCCATTCCCATGTCACTTTGCCCCCCGGCCTGCAGAGGGGAAGCGATGCTGGCGGCTGCGAGCATCCGGGACGCTACCAGGCAGGAAGGAAGGAAGGAAGGAAGCGGCTGAGGTGCGATGTCCTCGGGCGCTGTCGCATGGGCTCCCTGCTGCACCGTGCAACTGCGTGCAGCCTGCGCCCCCATCCTGACGTGCAGCCCCCGGCCCCTGGCACCGCCGTGATTAGAGCCACGGCAAGGAGCAATGGGGTCTTGCTGCAGCAAGGGAGATATTAGGGGGAACCCCCCCACCCAGCAATGGGGGCAAAGGGCTAGGTTGGGGAGGGGGCGGGGCGTAGGGCCTCCATCTTGGGGAGGGGCGGGGCTTAGAGCCGCCATGTTGGTGAGGGGCAGCGCTCGGCCCTCATGTTGGCGTGTCGCGGCGCTAGGGGGGTAGAATGAGGCGCGCGGCGCCATCTTTGTGCATGGCAACCCCCCCGCCCCCCAGCTGCCTCGAGCCGAGCTCTCCCCGTGCTTGCAGCGGTCGGGGGATGCCTCCCGTACAAGGGAGGAAGAGGAGGGGGCAGGAGGAAGAAAAAGGAGACAAAGAGAGGTGCCCCGCACAAAGATGGCGCCGCGCGAC